TATATATATATATATATATATATATATATATATATATATATATATATCTCCCCCTCCCCCTGCCGGGAGTCTTCTCCTCTGACTTCTCTCTAGAGCCGTGCCGATGGTCAATCATCGTTGGAGTAATCGATTTACGAAGAATTTTTGTATTTTCTCTATCCCACACTCTCTCTATCCTCTATACCAGAGCTGGAGCCTCTAAATGAAGCGGCACACACGGTAGCTTTCTGAAGCAATGAGCGGTGCAATGTCGATTCAGAGAGATGATGCTCTCGCCAATCGTTTCTTCGCTGCGATGCACATAGTGACATCAGAGCGACGTCGATCGATACTATACACAGATTGGCATATTCGATGGCGGTGGCAGTGGCATCATGGCATCAGAGGTTTGCATTGCAATTACCAAACGGTGGTGGGGTGATGGTCTATGTGGTTTTTTGTTGAGGTGTGGCTGCAAGACGAGGTATTTTATCTCGTCTATTTTCTTGTGTTGATGTAAATCGATAAATTTTCTCAATCAACATTAGCCAAAATGATTGAACGGTAAATCAACACCCAGATGAAATAACCCGATCCCAAAACTATTTTGCCAATTTGAAAGAGCCTAATTTAATCAGTGCTGCTCATGGCCCGTTTTCACTTATCTGTACGGCTTACGAATGGAAACTTACTTAATAACCCATTTAACCCCTATTAGGCCTAACCCATTACTGTAACCTAATGTATCCTATATATTCTTGGCCATCTTCCTCCTTGGTAGACATATATGCGTCCATTTTCTTCTATGCCAGTCTTTGTGCTCTCTGCCTATCATTTTCTTCTCTACTTCATTGCTTTTTATGGTTAGTTTCACATTGTGGCTCTCTTCTTTTCGTTCTGAGTGGTGAATACGAAGCAATCATAAGTGTGAATAGTTGTAGAGGGAGTTTTGGGTTGTTTTTCAACTTCGTGTTGATTGGAGAAACTAAGCTCGGAAAACCTATGGTGATCATATATTATACTTAAAAAGCAATTCGATAGTTAGCTCCCATTTGGCCCCCATTCTCTTTCTCAGTCTTTTTCTCTTTCTTATTTTTAACCATAAAATCTTTTATAAAATAATATTACACACAAATAAAAAAAATCATTCTTTTTCAACCACATAGAAAAAATATTATTCTAATCATTAAAATTTGAAAAAAATAAGAGCCAAACGGGGGCTTAATATGCAAAATAAGGTATACTTGACAAAGTCGAATTGGCATGACCTAGTACCTACCTTTATATTCCTTTCTCTCCATTTGTTTCGTCTTTTCCGAGTCTACAGAAATTCATAACCCCTTAAATAGTGAATTAATTTTGCATTTTTCTTTCACTTGCTATTAGGTCAACGGAAAAAAAAATTAAAAGACAAGGACTCACGATCCACCTTACAAATTGGACCATTCTTGGTTACAACGTATGGCATGCATATTTCACCTTCCAATCCAATAAATTTCGAATTAATCTAATTGTACCAAATGTCTTACCTAATTTTTGACCGACTTGACAAGTGGCGTGTCCTTGTCAATTCGGTCATCCATTTGGTAAATGATTTGGTACATATAGCATCTCCCATAATTTTCCTTTCATTATCAAGAAAAATCAATCTGACATTTCTTTAATACGAGATATAATCTGAATCCCATTTAGTCCCTATTTGACCCCTATTTTTCAGTAAAAAGTTATATTTAGAAATTGTGATATTTTGGAGAATTTACAATTAAAATAAATAAATTTTTGATTTACATGTAAAATTATTTTACAGAAGAATATATGATTCAAAATAGATTTAAAAAACATAAATTTTTGAAAAAATGGAGCTTAAAATCTTATATTTTCATTAAAAATGTTTGTTATAAGGACCCCCATTTTTCGTTAAAAGTCTTGGACTTTTAACCCGATTTACTTTTATTCCTTGTCGTTTTCATGCTTCAAGTCAATGAGATGCATTATTAGCTGCAAGGAAATTGAGATGATAAGATAATCCTTTCCCTCATCCAATTCCTTTATTAATATAAATCTTTACGTATATGGTTCCCAACCTTTGACCCACTTTGCACTTTTACCAAAAAAACTTTTTTTACTAGCACTTAATTCCTCTATCTTTTTTTTAGTAGCATTTGCATCCTTGTTCATGGTTTACATCTAAAAACAATGTTATAACCTGATGGAAAAATAAATTTATAGTTCAAATAAGCAATAGAATGCATAAAAATAGAATAAAAACACATCCTGCTATCCTAATCCATCCTATCCTAATCCATCCCAATCACATTTAGGGATGACGACGGTGTGAGACGGGTATTAAAATATCTCCGTTGATGTACTTATTTAGTTTTTCAACTTTTCTTATTTTTGAAATATAACTTAAATTGTAAAATAATAAAATAATAGTCCGTACAAAATTCCCACGCCCAAGTTGGAGCAGGTTGATGACATGTAATTTTGCCATCTCTCGTAGGAGTAGTGTTCGAGTTTCCAGTAGTCGAAGCCATATCCATATTTACTCATTTATATTCATAAAGTATAAAATAATAGTCTGCACGAAAAATCTCCACCCACAAATCAGGGTAGGGTAATACATGGACATGTCATTTTGCCATCCATATCCACGTTCATTCAATTTAATTTCTATAATTGCATTTTATAATAGTGAGGTTTGAGGGTCGGGAGTGTAAGCTATTGGTCGTGAACATGAAACTTATCTCCGTGACTTAATAATTATCATCCAATCGTTTTAAACGAATCATTTAATTTCAAGTGTCAAAACTTTACTAGACCAAAGTGTTTTTCATTGGGCTTGCTACTTGGACAGAATTCTGTCCAAACCTCAAGCACCTTGCCATCAGGAGCGCCACGTGCCCCCTGTTTGGACAGATTTCTAACCTAATAATATCGTTTTTTTTTTTCTGCAGAATTGTGTCAGAACGGAGACAAAAGAAGAAGGTTGAAGTGTTAAATGTCGATAAAAAGAGTTGTGGCTGGAAGTACAAAAGAAAAAGATTACATATGCAATTTAGCCTAAAATATTAGAAGCAGCTCGTACGGTCATACCCATTCATTTTCACACGAAGTTTCGTTTCAACTTGACCTTCGTTCTCAATAGTTCCACCACCGACTCTTTGTAGCACACCAGACCAACAATGACTTCAACGTTTATCACACATTTTCTGAACATACCTACCATTCATATATCATTTTTCACAATAAATCTGTAATAGCAAACAAGGGGGGGAAAAATTTAGATTCTGAGGATGGCCAATCGAGGGGCTTATGAAGAACATCTCCCGGCCGTGCCCGCATGGCTAAACAAAGGCGACAACGCCTGGCAAATGACGGCCGCCACACTAGTTGGCCTGCAGAGCATGCCGGGATTGGTAATTTTGAAATATCTAGTCTAAAAACTGAAATTATCCCTTCAGGTTGATAATTTTTCTTAAATATTGTCTTCAACAGGTAATCCTGTATGCCAGCATTGTGAAGAAGAAATGGGCAGTAAATTCAGCTTTCATGGCGCTCTACGCCTTTGCGGCCGTCCTAATTTGTTGGGTTCTACTTTGCTACCGCCTCGCCTTTGGTGACGAGCTCTTGCCTTTCTGGGGCAAGGGCGCCGTTTCTTTAGGCCAAAGCTACCTCATCAAGCGCGCGTCTATACCAGAAAGCACACACCATTACGCCAATGAAACGATTGAATCTCCTATGAATCAGCCATTTTTCCCGATGGCGTCTCTAGTGTATTTCCAGTTCACCTTTGCAGCCATTACGACCATTCTACTGGCGGGTTCTGTGCTTGGTCGGATGAACATCAAGGCCTGGATGGCATTTGTTCCTCTCTGGCTCACATTTTGTTACACTGTTGGAGCATTCAGTTTGTGGGGTGGGGGTTTTCTTTACCATTGGGGTGTCATTGATTATTCTGGTGGCTACGTTATTCATCTTGCATCAGGGATTTCTGGTTTCACTGCTGCATATTGGGTAATTTTCTATACATAACTCAGATCTTGTCATCGATTTTACCTACGTTTTATTATTAAATTCTGTCTTCAAAACGCTCCCGCACATGTACATCGTGTTCAATTTTTTACATAGCCGAGTGTCGAACATGAAAATTTTACTAAAAGTTGGGTGAAGTTCTTAAATTTCTCTTCTGAATAAGAAAATATTGATGGGTAGAGTCGTCGCCCATCTTGATGATCAAGCTCTAATCTAACTTTTATGTGTTGGAACTGGTTGGTCTGATACCATAGATGTTGGCGAGAAGATAATTTGAGTATCTTCAATTAGTGATTTACGTTAGTCGAACTAATAAAAGCGAATAAAGTGGTCTAATCGAAACAAAACCGAAGCATGAACAAAATAATTGAGTCTGTTCATATGTCAAAACAGGTCGGTCCGAGGTTGAAAACTGATCGGGAAAGGTATGTTCCGAACAATATTTTGCTGATGCTTGCCGGCGCCGGATTGCTATGGATGGGATGGTCAGGTTTCAATGGCGGAGCTCCTTATGCTGCAAATTTAGTTTCTTCAATAGCCATATTAAACACAAATATTTCAGCTGCAACTAGCCTTCTTGTATGGACAACCCTTGATGTTTTCTATTTTGGAAAACCGTCGGTCATTGGAGCTGTTCAAGGAATGATAACTGGCCTTGCTTGTATAACACCCGGCGCAGGTGCGTTACAACTGAATTTGCACATTCGAAGATTTCGATATTGTCTGATGAATCATTTCGACTAAATTCTTACGTGTATTAAATGTATTAAAAACATCGAGGCAAGGATAAAATCTGATTCTCTGTGAACATGTTACTAAATTTAATGCTAAAATTTTATTAACTTTTCAAATGGTCAAATTTCAATTTTAACTACGTATTTTTTGGAAACCGACGACTTTTATCAACTTTTCAACCATATGTTTCATAAACTTTTATTGAAATCAGATAAAAATTTTGTGGAACAACCCTTAAATTTAAAATCATTAAAACTTTAATTTGTTGTGATCAAATTATCGAAATTCAGTTTTGAACACTTGCAGGAGTGGTTCAATCGTGGGCGGCTATAGTATATGGAATGCTTTCTGGTAGCATTCCATGGTATTCGATGATGATTCTTCACAAAAAGTCCACTTTGCTACAAAAGGTACACTTCCGTGCTCTTATTTGCTTCTTAAAAATTCTCTGTTTACACAGCTTTCTATAATACTTTAGTATACATTTGAGAGCTTGTTCAAAGTCTTGTTCACACTGATTTTTTTTTTATTTTACTGTACTCATTTATAAATATTTTTACAGAAAGAAAAATTAGTTAAAAGTCGTTAAAATCATCCTTTACTATCATGTATGTCGATCTGTACTATTTTTAGTTAAAAGCTGTTAAAATCATCCCTTACTATCATGTATGTCGATCTGTACTATTTTTTTTTATTTTTCTTTCATTCACCGTGAGAACATCTAGAAGAAGTATCAAGAGTTTGGATCTACATAAATAGACGAATACCATAAAAGCTTCCAGTCGAGCAAAGGAGTTGAATGAAATGAAGTTAGATCACGACATGAACGGTCATGAGATTGACCGTTATTAAGAAAACGAATTTCCTTGTTATGAAAAATTGGTAGGGGAAATAATGTGAAATCAAAGTCTTGGTCAATTTGGGGTCTATGTAGCCAATTTGCTCAAGTTGTGTCAAAAAGGAGTCTGATTAGTCCATGGTACATGATACGTGACTCACATTAATGTCCCATTTCAAGATCTGTCAACTTTCATCTTGAGATCTTCTAGAAGCAAATCTGGTCTGACCAATGGAATTTTCGTTTTTCTAACAAGTCTACCAAATCATGTAAAAAATCATTGACAAATTAATAAATCAATTTTTAATCACAAATTGAAAGAAAATAAAAGGTGTCATAAGTGTAGAACCCTGATACATAATCAATTTTCAATATTATTTTCAATAATTTGCTGACATTTTCATACGAAGTTACTCGTAATACAAAATATATCTTCCAACTAAACTCTTAGAGGTTTTTCATGTGTACATGTTCAAACCATTTTCCTTTTTATGTTTGTTAGTTGTATAATCAAATTAATTTGTTCAAAGTGCAAGAACTACTTGATTAATTTTGCATTTAATTCCCACTTTCATAATCTTCCCTTGTTGGGACATACTAGCACATTTTATAATTTTTGCACAGCTTTCAAATTGATGGGTAAGCAGTGTTTGCCATTAGTATTATTCATAGATAAACAAAAGAAATTACGAAATAACAAAATAATTTAGCCCTTGTTTGAGCTCCATTTTTCATAAAAGAATGTATTTTTGAATAGTGTATTAATGGGAAATGTGTGGTTAAAAAATAAGGAAAGTTTTGGATTTGCATGTAACATTATTTTATTGAAAAATGTGTAATTGAGATTATGTCAAAATACTGTTAAAAAAATATTTTTCCAAAAGAATGGAGCTCAAAAAAGGCCTTAGTATCATTTTTTTAGGTATTTTTATATTGATCAGATAGCATTGAATCGTTTTAAATAAGAAAGACGTATGTATAATACATCCTAATATTGCATACTTTATTTATCAGGTAGATGACACTTTGGCCGTCTTCTACACACACGCGGTTGCCGGACTTCTAGGCGGCCTTTTAACCGGGCTATTCGCAGAACCCGACCTTTGCAAGATGATATTGCCGGTAACAAACACCAAGGGTGCATTCTACGGTGGCGGTGGCAGCCAATTTGCCAAGCAATTAGTTGCAGCACTTTTTATCATTGGTTGGAATATTGTTTCAACAACAATAATTCTTTTGGTAATCAGAATTTTGATACCTTTAAGAATGCCAGAAGAACAGCTCATGATTGGAGATGATGCAGTGCATGGAGAAGAAGCCTATGCCCTTTGGGGAGATGGGGAAAAATATGATGCAACACAACATGGTTGGAATAATCCTGCTAATGTTGAAATGTTGGCACAACCTGGGGGTGCTAGAGGAGTCACTATTAATTTATAAGGCTTGGATTAATTTTAATTATTGAATTTTTCTAGGAGTTGTAGATGTGATTTGTGGAACGTTTGAAGTGATGAGTGCGAGTTTGATGTAACGTCGTGTGTATGGAAGAAAATTTTGTTGAAATGGAAAGATTTCGGAAAATATGCATGGAAGAAAAGCTTGAACAAGAGAGTTCTAATTTAATTTAAGTGGAATTGTTTGCTAAAATGCCACTACACATCACAATGCATATCTGTGTTGACTTCTCAATAAAATTAGTTGTCTCTAATTCTAAATACAACAAGCTATCCTTGGTTTAAATTAAGTCGGCCTTTTCCATTTTCCTGCAACTACCCAAGTTAGAGCGCATGCCTAGAACACCCTACAACAAGGGCATAAGAACTCATTTTTCAGGGTGACGGTAAATTTATCCTGAAGGACGAAATCTTGATTTCATCGATTATGACAGAATTGTTCCTTCAATACAAATGGAATGGACAAGTGGATACCAAAGACATTTTATATAGTTCTATAACTAGCATTGGCCCTAAGGACTTAGAGGCATTAATCGACTAATTATTATGAGACCCTTAATATAATACTTTTTTTTCAAGCGTAGATAAATAAATAACATATTTATATTTTAAACGAAAATTTTGTACAATCCAAAAGATAGAATAGCAAATAATCTTTGACAACTAGAGAAATTAAGTTAGCATAATATTTAGCAAAATTATCCCATTGATGGATAAAATATTATCAAAGTATAAATAATAATCTCCAAAAAATTATTAATTGGAAAAGCACGAGTAAAGTGCAATTTAGCTAATTCTGGAAAGTTAAAAACTAAAGTGAAAATCATGAGAAAGATTTAATGTCCATATTTTAAAGTCCCAAGAATATTATAAGGATGGCTCGTGAGGAAAAGAGTGATTTTCAAAGCTCTAACTTGAGATGGGCCTTAAATGCAAAAGATGTAAAATTTAGGGAAAAAAAAAATTTTAGATAAGTCGAACTAAGTCATATCAACCAAAGAAAATTATAGTTGAATAATTTTTTAAAAAATGAATCGAAGTATTTTAATTGGGCCTTACGTAGTTATTTTCATTGAAAATTGCATCCACTCATGATTTCAACTTTCAAATTCAAAAATCAAATTTAAATTTTGATCATTCAAAAATCAAGTCGTAATTAACTTTTTATTAATTAATAATAATATTATTAACTTTTCTCTTTCTATACTCACCCTTCTCTCTCTAAATACCACTAGATCCACCACCATAACCTCCAACCCGTCATCATCCACCGCCCCTATCCCCTCTATCTTCATCGGCAACCCAACAGAATGCAACAATGCTAAGCATCATCGTGCGCGGTCATCTTTTGTCAACAACCTAACAGAAAGCAGCGACGCTTCGCTCAACGAGTTGTGAGATGGTGCTCATCAATATGCACGCAAACGATGATGGTTTAGGATTTTTTAGGTGGTTTCTTCCTCCTTCGATCCACTTAGCGGGGTGATTTTTGTTGGTGTTGGTTATTTTGTAGTTGTAAATGGTAGAGCTAGTGAGGAGTAGGGTGGGTGGAGAACGTTTGTAATCAATTATTTGATTAATTGTAACCAATAAACTGATTAATTTGTGACAATAAATAATATGTAACCGATAAAATAGATAATTTGTGATAAGTAAATAATATGTGACTTAAAAAATGTGAGATTGTGACTTAGCCCCTGTTTGGGCTGTATTTCACATTTTAATGAGTGAAATGGTATTTTTTTTTTAAGAATATGTTCGAAAAATAAAGAAAGGTTTGAATCTGTGGTTGATAGGAAGGAGAAAAATGATTTTAATTTAATAAGGGCCAAATAGAGCTAAATTAGTAATTATAACTCACAGTTTGTTAAGTTCTGATCAATTGATTCGATAATTTATGATCGAAAAATAATTTGTCAATTAATTTGATAATTTATGATCTTGAAGTAAGTTGTGACTTATAATTTATTTTTTAATTTTTTTTTTTGTGGTCGAGAACTAATGTGTGATCTAATAATTTAATAATTTGTAACTGATAAATATATTGTGACCTATAAAATTTTTAATTTGTGATCGAGAAATAATCGTGATCAATTAATTTGATAATTTTTTATTGATAAATAAGTTGTAACCTATAAAATTTATGATTTGTAATTATAGCGTTTTGTGATTGTGACTAATATGTAATTTTGACAATAAACTATATAATATTGTGACCTTCATACATTTAATTAATAAAATATTTCTAATTATTCAATTAATTAATAAAATTTGAATTATGACCAGATATTTGAAACTTCAAAATAACTTTTTTTAAATTGTATCTTATAACTACCTTAGATACGTTGTTCACTCTCTCTCTCAGCCTCATAAGTTTAGGCCATAGTTATCAAACCTGACCCGTACACTCACCCGAAAAATGTAGCGGGTCAACAGGTCAGTAGTTCAACCGACGACCCGATGGTTCAACCTGTGGGTCAATGCCTATCATATATTATTAATTATTTTCATTGAATAATAAAATTTTACTATTTTCTTCCAATAACTAAATTAACTTCATATTATTTTGTTAACTAAAGATCAATTTGTATTTCAAATTTCACAAATTCAAGTTCAGTGAAATATGCTTTAAAATATAAAACCATCATTTGAATCTTATTCAACGAAGTCAGTGTTTGTCTTTACTCTTTATACGAAATTGAAGGTGTGTCAAATTTTTTAGTCTTTTTTTGCCATCTTCTCCAATCTCCCATTATTATTTTTTAATCCAAACCAGAAAGTGCAAAGGAATTATCATACTTTAGAAAACTAAATGGCTCTTATACATTGTACACAGGCTTGAGACATCTCCTAACACAACAGGCAAAATGAGGCACTGAGCCATCTTCTCCCACTTGGCACTTGCCCTTATGCTCTTAATAAAAACAAAAATGCTGAGCGAGATCTAAAAACCAGATCTAAACCATAGCAAACTCTTTTTCCCCTCAAAACTAGATCTAAAAAATTTACACACATTGAGCGAGAAAAAATGAGCATTTTGAATGAAACCCTACTTATAAAGAGGAAACAATTGATTAAAGAGTTAGTGAAAGGTAAAGAATTTTATAGCCCAGCTTCAAACCCTACTTAACAAGCCACTGAAAAATAATAGCCTGTCTTTGCTGAGGAATTAGCTGTGAAAATCTTGAGATCTTTCACTGGGACTCTTTCTGGTGTTAAGTTCAGTTGAAAGATTCCAGATCTCAAGTGACTATAGTGGCGCTGTTTGTTCCATGAGTGAGAAGAAGCCGTTAGGAGATTGGAGACGGTGGCTGAGATTTTTAATTTTACAAGAATCTTAGAAGCTGTGAGGAGACGAGAGTGGGAAACTGGAATCTGTAAGGAAAGTGAAACACGGGCAGCTTAAGGCCCGGTTGGGTCAAGGAAAAGTTGGTAATCGGGTTTTGTGTAAAATCAGCGGTTCAAACGGGTTGCTTGCAGGCTATTTATTCAGCCATAAATTCCTTACAACCGGACCAGATCTGGGTCCGATTCAACGGGTTCCGGACCAAACTAGCCGGTCCAGTTCGGGTCTGATAACTATGGTTTAGGCCATTGGATATAGTTGGCTTAAGTCTAGGGCCGATCCTTTCTATGCCCTGGCTTAGNGGATACCAAAGACATTTTATATAGTTCTATAACTAGCATTGGCCCTAAGGACTTAGAGGCATTAATCGACTAATTATTATGAGGCCTTTAATATAATACTTTTTTTTCAAGCGTAGATAAATAAATAACATATTTATATTTTAAACGAAAATTTTGTACAATCCAAAAGATAGAGTAGCAAATAATCTTTGACAACTAGAGAAATTAAGTTAGCATAATATTTAGCAAAATTATCCCATTGATGGATAAAATATTATCAAAGTATAAATAATAATCTCCAAAAAATTATTAATTGGAAAAGCATGAGTAAAGTGCAATTTAGCTAATTCTGGAAAGTTAAAAACTAAAGTGAAAATCATGACAAAGATTTAATGTCCATATTTTAAAGTCCCAAGAATATTATAAGGATGGCTCGTGAGGAAAAGAGTGATTTTCAAAGCTCTAACTTGAGATGGGCCTTAAATGCAAAAGATGTAAAATTTAGGGATTATATTGAAAATAGTGAGAAAGATATATTTTTAGATAATAAGGTAACGAGTTAAGATTATTTAGCAATGAGAAAAATCATAAGATTGTAATGATTTTGATTTGGGAACTTTTTAATAAGTTTGAGATCTTGAGGGACTAAAATGAAAATAAGTTTTGATATCAGTTATATGTTTGAGCCAAATGTGTATTTATTGAAGGATCGAGAATTACCATATCAACATTAGGATCATTTCGAAAGTTGTATTTAATGGCACAT